TTTTTTTTCCAGAATGCGGCTTCGCATCCATCACCGAAACGGACACCTAATGCAAAATTGGGCAACGAAGGCGCACAAAAATCATCGCTGCCAAAGACAGGCTCTGTGTCCTCAGCCCTTGTAGGATCGCCAGACCCGAAATTCGGTCCCGATGCAAGCGTCGGTTCAAATTCAGCTTCGGCAGCTTCCTTATCATCAAAAAAAGCAGCATCAACGTCTTCATCCGGAGGAAGCCAAGCGTTCGCATCAAAAACATCCACCTCTTCATCAGTTATTTGCAAAACAATCAAATGCTCGTTTGAGGATCGTTAGTTTCACCTAAAAGTTTACGTGTGTAACAAATTCTGTTGCAGTAAGCGCCAAAGAAAGCAACAGTTTTTTGAGAAAAAATATATAATAATACACTGTAAAAACAATAATTGAGTGTGTAAAGTTGCAAAATCTCTAAATTTATGAAATCGATAGGTCACTAGAAGGTCTAAACACGAAACTGATAGATCACTAGAAGAACACAGCAGCAAGCAGCTAATTTAACATCATTTTTTGAAGGGAATATCTGCAACTACAAAGAAGCACATCAGACGGAATCAATCCGTGGCGTGACGACGAGCTTCCAAGTAGTTACCGGACAATACATGAACAGAGTGACCGGAGTAAAAGAAGGAACAGGTAAAAGACTTATTTCTCAATAACTTCACACCGTCATTTCCATTTCTGCCATACATTTACACTCTTACGGGCTGCTGTTTTATCGAATTGCATAAAAATTTTGAATTTTTGATGTGCAACGGCATGTGAAGCATACCAGTAACATTACTAACACTGGATCCTCACACTGGGTGTTCGTGTGGTCTTTGTGTCTTTGATATATACAATCAACTACCGCTGTCAGCACTGCGCCTACGCCACCCTTCGTTGCCAGCCTAGACGATGGCGATTGCGCTGTGCAGCGTACTACCACTTATGATGACCACCTTTCTGACTCAGCAAATGAATGGCGAACGATTCTATTGCGCGAGTGGAAAACCACTGAAGAAAATAGATATGGGGCTGAAAAGAAATTGTTTTTCAGAGGGTGACTATTACGCGGCAACATTCTTATACCCACGAGAAATGGCCGGACTAGCGGTGGACATAGCTGGTTTAACAGAACCAGTGCGACTGCGATTCCAGTATTATGAAGGCACACATGGTGTTCAGCTCAAAGGTTGTTGCGAAAGCCTGGAACACTGCCTATTTGCATCCGACAAATTTGTCAGTGTTAGCGACAGAACGTGGAAACTTACCTCATTCACTTGTCCAGCAGGCACCTCCAAGGTTCCTATTTTTAATGTATTTTGAGGTACTGTAAATCCAAACCCGGATATTTGTGGTCTAAATTTACCAGTACAACTTGTCAAAAGCATTGGGCTGGAATAGCATCTGAACTATACGCAGGTTGATCTTTTCTCCTCTTTGCTCTCAAATCACATCAAAAAACAGGAAATGTGCCATCCGCTCTCTGATCTCTTGGTTAGGCTAAAATTGGTGCTTGTCGGAATAACCGCTGCAATTCTGATCTCCCTCAGAAGGTAAGTGGATAAGGCAAAGAGAATTGCTAACTTTTATGCTAACTAGGCTGAAGAAAGAGGAGTGATTTATTCCACCAAGACGAAGAATTTTTTAGATTTTATTTGTATGTGAAAATACGAGGACAAATCAAGGGGCATGCGCAATAGATGACATTCAAGTGATCGAAAACAATGCTGCTGACCTGCGGACAGCGAGGACGCTATGCTGACCTGGTGAATTGTGAAAGACTGGAAAGACATTCCTGAACAGACTGTTCAACAAAAAAGAAAACGACTTCAGATGCCATAGACACTTTGTTGCATACTTTTCATGAACGTTGCACTTTTTGAAATTCATAATTGTAGTTCCACTTCCATCCTCGCTTCGAATTCAACTTGAAGCGCGGTTAACTTTTATAGCAATTTCTCCTGAAACAGAATTTACTCTGGAGTGATGCGCTAGCTGGTCTGACCGGCATACGCGAGCTGATTAATCGACAATGGTGCAAAAAATTCCTGAACTGTGCTCATCTTCGAACAGGCGTCTTCGACTGAGCGAAAGCATTCCAGCCTCTGTTTTTACGACTCTGGGGCAAAACCGTCTTTTTTTGTGTGTGCTTATACTTTCACTTTGTGTTCCTAACAAATACCGACGTGCTAAACATAACGGGCATTATTTAGCAACATAAATTTTCGGTACAATAAAAGAATTACAAAATTTCGAAGACAAAAAAGCACAAAAAAGGAAGCGAAAAAGCTTATTTCTTAGGAGAAGAAAAGCAGTAGCAGTTACATTCCTCAGACCTCGCTCTGGACGTCTTTTACGAACTCATTATGCAGATGCGTACTTTATTTGTTGAAAACTAGTTACATGGCTAGCAACGTATTAGCACCACAGCAGAAAAAAATTGGCCAACGCACGGGCTGCC